CCGAGTCCAAGGGCATTGTGCAGGGTCGAGCCAGCAGCTCAGATCTGCTCAGTAAGGACGGCGGGCTCCTGAATTTCCGGTGTCGGGGTAGCTAGCTGTCTAACTGTGCTTCCCAAACACCACACTTGACGTTAATTTTTATTTTGTTAAAGATTGCATTTATTTGATAGAGCGCACAAGCAGGGGGAGCAGCAGAGGGAGAGAGAGAAGCAGGTTCCCTGGGAGCCTGAGGTGGGGCTCGATCCCAGGACCTGAGATCATGACCTGAGCCAAAGGCAGATGCCTAACCGACTGAGCCACCCAGGCGCCCCAGAATTGACTTTAAAAAGTTAATTTAAATATAAAGAATGAAACTGTGAAAGTACTAAAAGAAAACTCAGGTAAATTCTGTTTAACCTTAGTGAAGAAAGACTTTAACCATAACTTAAAAGTCTAGATCTCTTAAAATTAATAGATTTGTTGCAGAGCAATAAGACATTAGCGGGGGGTGGGGAACATGAGCAAAGTCTTAAAACAAAGAATTGGGGGGTGGTATTTACACCTCCACTCCCAGGTGACGGACCAGCCGTCGTCACACGTAAAGAGCTCCAAGAAATCAGAAACAACACTGACGCTCCAGCAGAGCAGGGTCAGAAGACGGGCCTGCACTAGCAAGTGCCAGAAAGAAAAGTACAGACGACGCTCATTTACACGCAGCGGAGATGCTCGGTGCCCTCCGTGATGAGGGACGTGCGCGGTCGGGTGGCCCCGAGTCTGGGTTTTCACTCCTCAGATGGGCGAACACTTGGGTGTCTTGCGGCCGGCTGTGCTGCTGGAGGTGTCTGAGCTGCGGATGGACTTGTCCTGTGATGGGGCCGCGTTGCTTACAGAAGTCACGGCTTTGCCCGCTGGGTCTGAGCAAGCCAGGCTCTCCTCTTGACGGACGGCTGCACGTCCACGGTGAAGAGAGGGCGCTGTCTGCGTGAGGCTGCCTTACACGGGGGAGCGTCCTCTCATCTGAGAAGAGGAGGGCTCAGTCTGTTCATATTTCTTATGTTCGCGTGAGGAAGGGTCGGGAGAATCAGTAAGAAACGAACAGAGCACTCGCGGTAGCGGTGGAGGGAGGCTTTCCTCGCATGCTGTGTCACGTTTCCATTTTATATCCAGACGCCAGTCTTCCATGTTCAAGCGTCATCGTCCCGACTCTGCAGCCCCTGCAGGGACAGAGGAGGGAAGCTGCCTTCGCCAGCCATGCCTTTCTGTAACATTTTGACTTTCTGAACCTTTAAATATATTTACAGATTTGGGAACATATACGAAAAAGTAGGATTGAAGGCATAAAAGCATCCATACGCGCCAGTGATTTTCCCATTGATCCTGGTTATTGACAACATTCATGGTGTGTTTTCATTCCAGAGTTCACCTTTGACACAAGAGCGCCCGATGCGAGAATTTTTTTTTAGGTTCATTTATTGTTCTAAGTCATCTTTGCACCCAACATGGGGTTTGAACTCACGACCCCAAGATCAAGAGTCCTAGGCTAGGCACCCTGTATATTTAAGTGTCTTCTGCACTTGGCCATGGGAAGCCCGTCACACCAGGGTCCGAGGCGTGCGGAGGGACGTGAACGTGCGCAGTGAACTTGCTGTGGAATGTGTGAGGGGCTGTGAGCTCTCGTGACCAGTGAGCAGAAAGCCTGCCCTGGTCTCATCTTCCCACGCACCGCTGGTCACAGGACCTCGCACCGTTTCTAAAACGGTGTTTGTGCATCCTGACACCATCCTGCTGTCTCCACGGGCACCCATCGCGCTGGGAATGGCCGCCCCACGGCCCACTCTGGGTCCTCCTTTTCTCTCATCGAGATCCGAACTCTGGGACCCACACGGACCGGAAGCGGGGCTCTCCCACCGTGTCAGTTTCTGCAAGTTCACGGCAGGTCACGAGCAGCCGTGCCCACCGGTGCTCAGGACCGTCGGCCGACGTCCCGGCCGCCCCGTAACAGACCTTCATCTGCGGGGAAGAGCAGGAAGCGTGCCCTGCCAGGCCACCTCCTTGCCTCCCCCTGCCAGGCCACCCCCTTGCCTCCCCCCTGCCAGGCCACCCCCCTGGCCCCCCCCCGCCCGGGCCCCCCCCCTTGCCTCACCCCTGCCAGGCCATCCCCTTGCCTCCCCCCTGCCAGGCCACTCCCCTTGCCTCACCCCTGCCATGCCACTCCCCTTGCCTCACCCCTGCCAGGCCACTCCCCTTGCCCGCCTCGTGGACTCAGCCTCACGGACACTGCCCCTCCTGCTCTCTGTCCGCGCACCCCATCTTCGGCCGGCGTCACAGGGAACCGAGTGCTCGCTCGTCTGCTTGCTCTGCTTCCTTCCTCCCCTCCCCATCCCTCGTTTTAAAAGCGCAATTCCCTGAAATCCGGAGAGCAGAGCTGTAGTGAGAACTGAAAGCCGTTGGAGGTGGTTGCGTGTGTGCTGGGACAGGGGCCTGGTCAGGCAAAACCACTTGGTGTTCATGCCCTTGCCTCTCCTCCTGCTGCTGGGTCTGGGGGACACACCAGCTGCGGGGGCTCCTTGGCTGCCACAGCCCCCGAGGCTCCATGGGAGGCTTTCCACCCAGTCCATGGGAAGCGTGTGTCTGTGCGTGGCATTTCTCTGTCTTCGTAGTCAAAAGGCCTCGTGTCCCTCCTTCTGATGAGGCGGTTGGCCAGCGTATGTGTGTCCCGGGCCCCTGCCTGCAGGGGATAGAGGGCGCGGGAGGGACAGCTGAGCTGGAGAAAGTCTGAGCAAGTTCTCAGCCGGTTGGTGAGTGAGTCCGGCTGAGGCCTGGGAGGGCAGGAGGCCCACGACGAGGTGGCTCTTGGGGGTCCCTCCTGGTGCGACCCCTCATCAGCACAGGCTCCACACCAAAGGCACTCGGACGCTCACACCCCAGTTCAGAACGAGTGGGGCATGAATTAGTGGCCCCGTGTTCCCCTCTGGTGAGGCTCGCTGTACACGTGTCGGCCTTCATCCGACTTGTCCAACCTCTGGTTTAAAACCAAAGAGGAGTCTTTGCTCTGAGAATCGGGCACTCGGCCGATGTTCCCAGGGGCTTCTGCGCTGCCCTCTCCTGGTCCCCTTGGACGGCGACACTGCAGGGTAGACAGCGTGTTGATGCCTTTTTAGATCTTTCGTCACCACCTTCGTTCAGAGCAGGGCATCCCTGTGGGATCACTTGGAAACTCACGCTTAATTGGCTTCCTGGCGCTTCGGGAATCAGCCCTCTGGCCTGAGCCCCTGGTGCCCGTGCTTCCTGACCAGCACCCACGCCCACCTGCTCAGCTCCCACTCACACAGCCGGTGGGAGGCTGCCCTGCCGGTGTCCTGGTGCAAGGAGGAAACCCCAGATGATGAGAGCCCCCGAGAAGCAGGTGGTGTGGGAGAGCTGTCCTCTGTGGTGCAGAGCACCCTCCTCCCCATCTGCGGCGTCGGGCTCCCACCCCACGTGAGCGTGACTTCTGATCTGAAGGTCAACTTGGCTCACACTCTGCTCCTGGGTGTGTGTGTGCACGCGAGCTTCTCCTGACGGCCCCACGTGTGTCTCAGAGGTGCCTCAGACGCACCGGCCCCACATAGAACCCTCCTTCTCTGAGGGCCTGCACCCGGCACCCCAGCTCTTTAGTGATCTTGCCAAGCAGGTGGGTCACCACCCCTCCTGCCCAGATCCCGCGAGAATCATCTCCGTCTCCAGGGTCATCCCCACGCCCTCTGCGCCTGCTGCACCTGCTGCCCCCTTTCAGTCTGGCTCACCGTCCGTTGCCGTCCTGCAGACCCACTGCCATGACCCTCCCCGGTGCCAGCCCCTGCTGGCCACCTCGGGGCCTCCACGCAGCATCCGAAGCCCTGTGCCCTCTGCATCCCGCATCCCACAGGATAGGCTCGCCTTCCCCTCCATCCCGACTCTGCAGAAGATCCCACCGTCCTTCAGCACAGGCGCTGAGCCGCCGTGTCCCCCAGGTCTCCTTGCCGTGCCATCACGCACACACCGCTGTCTCCTACAGAGCAGGGTGTGTGTGGGTCGTGTCTCTGAGTCCAGGACCGAGCCAGTGCCTAGCACCAGCGGGTCCTTGAATGAGAGCTCAGCTCACAAACCCACAGTTGTGCAGATGTGTGCTGGTACATGCAGGTGTGTCCCAGGGTGTGCCGGTGTGTGCACATACGTGCAGGTGTGCAGGTATGGGCCGGTGTGTGCTGGTAGGTGCAGGTGTGTGCCAGTCCATGTAGGTGTGCGCAGGTGCGGGCCGGAGTGTGCAGGTGTGTGCACGTGCGTGCAGGTGTGCAGGTGCGGGCCGGAGTGTGCAGGTGTGTGCACGTGCGTGCAGGTGTGCAGGTGCGGGCCGGAGTGTGCAGGTGTGTGCACGTGCGTGCAGGTGTGCAGGTGCGGGCCGGAGTGTGTGGTACAGCGCGGCCTGGAGATTTGGGAAGAACTGTACACCTGACTCTTTACTTACGCTTCCCACCTCAGGGCTCTGCCTTTGGGGTAAGGAATTGGGCCTCTGCTCCAGGAAGCACCTCTTGAAATGTGTGACACAGATGGTTCACACGATTATATTCCCACAGATTATCCTTTCCCAGTGTTTTGCAAGTCCAGGCAAAATTCTAAGGAAAGCTTCGGCAGGGCATAGGGTCTGTAGAAACCAGGGAGGGTTTCGAGTGTCGGGAGAGTGTGGGAAGGGAGGGTGTGGGCACAGGCTGCAGAGGTGAAGGGGCCCCTCCCAGCAGGTCCCCGGAGGTGTTCGGGGACCGTCTAGGAGCCGCCGCGCTCCTGAGTGTGTGTAAGGTGCCGGCCCGTCTCCCGCGGCCGAGGAGGGTGGGTCTGCCAGCAGCCGCTCTAGCTGATCTTCCCAGTGAACGTTGGACTTGAGGGCATAGAATCTGGAAGGCATAGAACATTCCCTGCTCGTCCATGATTCACACGTCCCAGGAAGCAAGGAGCCCCCTGGGTACCCGCACTCACGGTTTCTCCCTGTCTCTTTCTCTCCCCAGTCGTGCCAGGCTGACCTGGTGAAGGACAACGGTCACAAATACTTCCTGTCGGTCTTGGCGGACCCTTACATGCCGGTAAGACGACCCTCACTTCTCCCTCAACAGTGTCCAGAGCCGTGCTGTTTGTTTCCGCGCGCGTCTCGCTCTGGGGTTCCGTGGCAAGGGGCTCCCTGCGGGCGGAGGGCCATGTCGGGGTGTGGGCGGGCGGGCGGCCTTTGCCTAAGAGCAGCGGGTTTCAGAGCAGCTCCTTTCTGTGTCTGAGCAGGTCGGTTTGGCTGTTCATGTTTGTCTCCCTGGCACGTCTGTGCAGCAGAGACTCCCTTCCTGCTCACATCCTGTCGATGGAATGAGATTAATGAGCGCTTTCACGTCTCTCTGACAGCTCACAGGCCTAGGGAAGGTTCTGGAACATGACAAGTTGCCAGTGTGCCTTATGAATCAGGAAAGGAGGGAGGGCGGGAAAGACGAGAGTGAGCGTTTAAGTTTCAAATTATGTTATTTTATTAAAATGCTTCAGCAACAGTCATCTCTGAACGGATTCACAGCGAGTGCTGCAGATGCGTCCTAACGAACCCCCAGCGTCCCTCCCTGCAGCTCCTAGTGTGGCAGAGAGAACAAAACAGACGTCCTGAGTCGGTCCTTGATATAACTCGGTTTTGCTGGCATATTTAAAGCGTAAAAGTTCATTTTCACAGCCCTGGCATTCTAAGCTATGCTGGTTACCGAAGAAAAACCAGAAGACGTTAAAGACAGGATTGTTGTGTAACAGGCAAGGGGCACCGCGTGTTTGAACTGAAGCCTGGCGACGGAGCTCCATCCTGGGAGCCGAAGCTCACCCTTGCGAGGCTGGGAGGCAGTCGCTTCTCCGCCGTCCGGATGAGCACGTGCACAGGCAGCGGACGGCAGAGCCCCCCGCGCTGCCGATCGTGGCTCAGTGGCAGGCCCGGCCGGCACAGGTGGCCCCACTTGGGCTGCAAACACACTGACGTTTTGAGCCCATAGTGAAATTCAAAAGAGAAGAGTGCCAGATGCCAAAAACTGAAGCCAGAAGTCTGAGGAGAGCCACAGTGGGAAGGGAGCGCTGACCCCGGGGTCTCCTGCCCTGCAGACCCGACTCTGTGCCCAGGGTGGGGCCTGAGTGGCCACTAACCCCGCGGAAAGCCAGGAGCCTGCGAGGCGTGCCCCGCTCCACGCACAGGAGGGGCTCAGAAACACGGTTCCCAGGGCTCCACATCCAGGCGGAGACACCAGCCCAGATCCCCAGGGGCCTGGAAGCAAAGGCAGAACCCCCGCTGGGCGCGTGCAGAGCCTAGAGCCTGAGAGCCTCGGCCGCCGGCGGTTGAACCAGCGGGGAGGAGAGCCAGTGGAGTCGGCAAATAGGAAATCAGCCCCCGAGAACCAAAAGTAATAGAGTTCTCTGAGAAAAACTGTAAAGCCCATATGAGTAAGTGTGTGTAAGGCGATTGAATGAAAGAATTCAGTTACGTCCAAAATGCACCATCGTCTAGTTCCTCAGAACTACTTTTGTCCCTTTTAGAAGAAAACAATCTATTCTTTTCTTTTTACCCATCCTCAAAAATGACCAACTAGAGGGGCGCCTGGGGGGCTGAGCCATTAAGCCTCTGCCTTCAGCTCAGATCGGGATCCCAGGGTCCTGGGATCGAGCCCCGCATCGGGCTCTCTGCTCGCGGGAGCCTGCTTCTCCCTCTACCCCTCCCCCTGCTTGTGTGCCTTCTCTTGCTGTGTCTCTCTGTCAAATGAATAAATAAAATCTTAAAAAAAAAATGACCAGGTAGATTCTCTCGGTAAACAGGCAGATCTGGGGGGAGCCTGCAGTGGAAGCCATCATCTCTGCCGTTCAAAGCTCCACAGTGAAGCAAACGACAGGCGGCCCGTGGGCGAGAGAACCCGTGCAAACACCACCCAGAGCGGAGCAAACAGCATGCGGGAAGGGGGCTCTGAGGCCTGTGGGGCGGGGGGTCCCACTGCTTCCAGCCCCAGCGTGCCCTGGGGACAGTGGGGAGCAGCGGGATATGGCGTGCCCACAGCCGACGATTCTCCCAGTACAAAGAAAGGAACGCGTTTTCGGTTGTAAAAAGCGCAGTGAACCTTGTAACGGGTGAACACAAGCAAATCCACGCAAAGACGCGTCCTCACCGAGTCGCACATCTCCAAGCAAAAGGGAGAGTCTGAGAAGAAACCAGAACGAGAGGGCCTTTGCACAGCAGCGGGCCGCTTCAGCGGGCGGTGGACGCTGGCGCCAGAGGAAACGGACCGTCACCCTGGGACCCTCCGCCACCTCTCACCGTGTTCAGGACACGTGGTCAGAGGCTCAGAGCCCGCCGCATGTGGACCCCCAGTGCAGACCCGTGTGAAGATGGTGCCACGGGACACAGCAGCAGCACAAGACTGAGGAACTGGTGAACCTGTTGGCGCATCGGAGTGCGCACCAGCTGCGGACATGGACGGCGGTCCTCACGGACCTGAGGGATTAAGGCGGAGGGAGAAGGCTGGCATCGGCCCTGTAGTGGCCTCGACGCATCTGAGGGCGAGAGCAAGAAGGATCCGTGTCAGGCTCCGCTCAGGGTGCGCGTGAAAAACATGAGGCCCCACAGCACCACTGGGATAGGCTGACTGGCTCCCCTTCAGGAGGGCCACAGGCCCACAGAGGGAAGGGCAGCGTGAAGACCGGCCCACGCGACAGGAGGCCACGAGAGAGAGCTGGGAACTGAGTTAGGAGGGGGATCCACGCGTTCCCCACCGGTGTGTGCGGCGAGGGCAGCGTGCGGCACGGCTCGGGCAAGGGGGCACGGGGGCGTGGTCGGGCGCTTCCCACCGGCGGGACGGCCCTCTGCCCACGTGGCGCCACGGCGGACGCGCCTGTCGTGCAGCATTCGCACTTTGGGGGACAACCTGCACTCAGAGGCTCCAAGCCCGAAGCCGCCGTCCCCTCTTCACCGGCTCCTCTCGTCTGTAGACCCCGGTGCGCAGGAGACCGACCCGCGCGAGTGGGCCCCGGGCTCCTCACAGAGTTCGGGAAGGAGAGCTCTGCCGTGCTCGGGGAAGGATGGGTTTCCGCTGCGGGCGAGAGCGAAACCAGCCTTCTGTCTTCTAGGCCGAACACCGGACCATGACGGCCTTCATCCTCGCCGTGATCGTCAACAGCTACAACACGGGGCAGGTAAGTGCCGCAGCTGCCCGCCCCCCAGGGCCTCCTGGCCCCGCCACCCTGTTTCCCGTCCGTGTTCTCCCTCAGAAGGGGGCGCCGGCGGGGGGCCTGTGTGTAGCCGCCGCGCACAGGTACGCGGCAATGGGCGGCATCTGGAAGGAGGAAAACTGATCTAAGCTGCCATGTGGGCGTTTCCCCGAGCAACGGCGCCACGAACCCCACTGGCGCCCCCCACTACCCTGGGTCAGGGGTGACCGCTGGCTGCCGTCTGCCTTCCTGCAGGAAGCCTGCCTCCAGGGAAACTTGATCGCCATCTGCCTGGAGCAGCTCAACGACCCCCACCCCCTGCTGCGCCAGTGGGTGGCCATCTGCCTGGGCCGCATCTGGCAGAACTTTGACTCGGCCAGGTGGTGCGGCGTGAGGGACAGCGCGCACGAGAAGCTCTGCAGCCTCCTCTCGGACCCCATCCCTGAGGTGAGCCGCCGGCATGTCCCGGCCAGCAGAGGCCGCCTCTTGGCAGGGGGAGGGGGGGCGACCTGGGGATGCCGAGAGACTATGCCGCCACGCGGTCAGGCCCCCACGTCCCTCGCTCCCCGACAGCTCTCTCGGTGCCCGTTGGTGCTCTGCCGCCTCCCCGTGCCCTGCTGCCCCATCGGGACAGGTGACCCCATGCGGGGGCGCAACCCCACCGCCCACTGCGGCCTGACCGCTGTCCGGCCCGTCTTGCAGGTGCGCTGCGCAGCCGTCTTCGCCCTTGGCACATTCGTGGGCAACTCTGCAGAGAGGACTGACCACTCGACCACCATCGACCACAACGTGGCCATGATGCTGGCCCAGCTGATCAACGACGGAAGCCCCGTGGTCCGCAAGGTGCGTGGCCCGCAGGTCGCAGGCGGCAGCAGAGCGCCTTGCAGCCGGTCTCCCGTGGCGCCCGGGGGTCTGAGCCGGCGACCCTGACCGCCGCCGCGAGCCCTTGTCTCCCACTGGCGCGCACCCTTGACAGAGCAGACCTTTAAATGTGTGTTTAATTCTCTACAAAGTGCGTTTCTTCACCAGATACCCGTGTGTTTGCTTCATTTAAAGGCATTTAACAGGGCTGCGTCTCCAGCAGCTTGTAGACTAGGCTCCTTCCCGCCCGGGAGCAGCACACACACCCCCGGAGACTCAAAAGAGCGGTAGACGCGCACAGCCCGCCGGCAAGGTTTGTGTGGCGTGCTCCCCTCCCCGCCCCCGTGTTCGTCCGCAGCTGAGCGGAGCGCTCCTCACGTTGAGAGCTCGTACTCGTCTGTGCAGTGTGGAAATACCACGGATTCCCGGCCAAGACCTCACACCTCCGTCCAGAGTTGGCCCAGCCTCAGCTAGGCGCCCCCCACCCCAGGCGGCAGCGCCACCGGGACCCGCGCGGTTCGCTGGTGACCTTGGAAGGCTGCCCGTGCCTCCGAGGCGGTTCTCCCGTGGGTGGCTCGTGTTCACACGGCGCTGCGCACGGGCCGGCCTGAGACCCCCGCATGGGGCCGAGGGAGGCTGCGTGTGGCCTGGGGCCGTTGGTCCCTTTGGACCCCCCTGGTTCTCCTGGGAGGGACGGAGTCTGGGCAAGTTCCCGTCAGGCAGACTCGACACATGGGAGGACTCAGTCTCTCCCTCGTGTTCCCTTCAGGGGGCGATGAGGCCGTTGCTCATGTGCCCGACGGCCCTGCACCGCAGCGGGAATGCGGCATAAGACCCCGGTGTCGATCCTGTTTCACTGGCCCGCGCGTTCTTGCTGGCGGCTCCTCTCCTGCAGGCCGGCGAAGTGCCTATACTCGGAGCCGCTGGTCGGGCCGGCACATAGCGGTTTCTTTAATTGTCCATTAAAATCCCTTTTAAAGAAGGAAAGTTTTTTTCCTTCTTTCCAGAAAATCTTAAAAATAACAAAGAACATTAATAAAAACGGCAAGACTGTCCCTCTCGGTTTCCAGTGTTGAGACAGTGGCCACCGAAGTCACAGGGATGTCTAAGTGCCTTCGCGCAGCCCCTGGCATCCCAGTCCTGGCTGGACGCCACCCCTGTCCCAGGTATAGTCAGGCCTCTCCTGAGGGCACATCGCCGTCTGCCTTGCCTGTTAGCTGCATGTCGGAGCCCGTCCCACTGACGTGCCCCATCTGGAGGCAGAGGACGGCTTTCCTTCCCACGTGCTCCTCCATCCCGGGCTCGGCATGCGAGCTCTTAGCATCCCAGGCCCTGGAGCGCAGAGTAGAAGATGAGCCTGCCTTCAAGGGGCAGACGCGGAAACCAGCGGCGGTGCTAGAGTGTCCGCAAACACGCAGGACCTCAGCGGTGGGCGCAGAGCTCTCGGGAACAGGTCAGAGTGGCACCTACCCTGCTTCGCTGGGGACGTGGGGTCACGAAGTCTTCCACAGATGGGAGCTCGTCCCCGAGCAGCCAGGAGCCGGGGAGGTGAGGGACAGGGAGAGCGGGTAGGGCAGGCAGAGTATGTGCAAAGGTCCAGAGGTGTGAAGTCCCATGGCGGACCCGGGCTACCTGCCGTTCAAGTGGCTGTGGCAGCGAGCAGCAGGAGGGGCGGTGCTGGGGGCGGCACGGGCATGAGGGGGATGAGGGGGAGGGTTCATCGCCACCGGCCCCTGTGCGTGGGGGGCGCGCCTGCCCAAGTACTTCATTCTTCCAGCAGACGCTTGAGTGCCGCGCTCCAGGTCCTTGGGGAGGCCTTGGGGCCCTGCCCTGCGTTCAGGAAGTTTGTGCTCTAACGGGGTGCACACAGCCCCCAGCAGGCCTGTTACATAAGCCAACAAAGCCATGTTTGCTACGGGAACGTGGGGGCTTTGGGGACGGAGCAGCACTTGGTGCCATCCGAGCGGGGCGGGCAGGCGAGGCTTAGCGGGGGAAGTGGCGCCCGTTCAGGGAGCGGCCCTCCCCTGGCTGCGGAACCCCAGCGCCGCTGGCACTGGGTTTTCTCCTTGGCCAGAGCCATGTGGCGGGACTGGCGTGGCACGTGGCACTCTGAGGGAGCTCGGGCTCAGCCTGCTGGTCCAGGAGACCGTGCTGCGGGGCCCCGGTCAGGGTCTTGGGCTGCGACCTGCAGCTCGGACCCTGGTCACGTGGGCAGCCAGCCGCTGCTGTGTCCAGCTCACAGTGCGAGAGAAGCAGGGATGGGGGGGCTTCCATCAAGTCATGTGTACTCGGTATGGACTAGACGACCTGTTTGTCAGAGCGCGTGTTGCCTCCCCACTGAGTGCTGCGGATGCCTCCCGGCCCTGCCGGGTAAAATCGGCATCAGCACAACCACCCCAGCCTCCCAGATGCCCCCGGGTGGGAACCTGTCTCTGAAGGACAAAGGGTGGCCTGTCCGGTCCACCGGTGCCCCCACCTCCTCAGAAGGGCCGGGCGGGGGTGCCAGTCTGTCCCCATCCAGCCCCACGTCCGCGTCCACCTCCTTCACCAGCACATCTGAGCCCGAGCGAGACTGGCGAGACGCGTCAGCACCCCAGGACCCAGGTCCCTGGCGGAGACGAGGGGGGGAAGCTGCCCGGGCCAGAGCACCCACAGCTGGTGGCAGGCTCGGAGGGCGCACCTGTGGGAGCAGACGTGCTGCCCCGACACGGCTCCGTCTCGCCGCGGTTACATCGTGGCCGCAGGCCACCAGGTGTCAGGCAGTCGTGTTCTACTGGGAAGTTGCAGTGGGTGGCCCTCGGGGAGCAAGCGAGGAGGTGGCAGCCAGCACACGGCGGCAGGGAGGACCCTGGGAAGATGTGCGGCCCCACCTTCCAGGCAACCACACGAGCATGCACTCCCCGCGGGGCAGTGCAGGTGCCCAGGAATGCGACCCCTGAGTCCTGGGACGCTCAGTGAAGCGGACCTGTGCTGGAGATTAGAAGGTGTTTGAAGGGAGAGGTTCTGTCCTTTTGGTGCGCTCATCCGGCACCTGCGTGCTGGGCCCCGGGTCGCCAGGTTGCCTGATACCCGCTGGGAACTGAACCTGGGTCCCCTCCCAAGAGCTTGCACTTGGATGTGGGACAAGCCGGAGACTGAACAGACCCGTGTGTGACGCGGCGGGGGTGGCCACCCTCTGAGGAGGCGAACCGGATGAAGGCAGAGTGTGTCTGTGGGGGGCCTGGACGAACTCAGGGCACTCGGGGAGGTGTCTGAGCGAAGACCTGAAGGAAACATGGGGTGCACTGGGGAGGCCTTTCCAGGCCGAGGGGACAGAAGGGGTGGGGTGGTGTCCCCTTCAAGAGTCCATGCAAGATTGAGGATGGTGGGCACAAGGGGCCGGGGGCGGCCGGGACCCAGGTGGGCAAGGCCTTATTTTGTTCTGCGTGTGAGCAGAAGGCAGGAGGTTGGGAAGAAGGTGGGACTGACCCTGCCATATGAGGCTGAGAGGTGCTGCTGGCCAGAGGGGCTGGGCCACATGTCTCAGGGGTGCCGGGCCACGTGTCTCGGGGGTGCTGGGTGCCCATGTTGAACCTCTTCCGGAAGAGGCCTCCGGAAGCCTGTGCGTCCTTGCCAGAACTAACCCCACATCTACATTTTGTGGTCAGACACGTACCAAGAGCCCGTCACCAGCTGTGGCTACTTGTAGTGGCCGCCACCCCAGCAGGATGTGCTTGGCCCAGAGCCACCGGGCGTGGGCAATGATCTCAGTGTTTGACCTTTGATGGCGTTCCCTGCACCAGAGTGTCCAGGACCTGGGTGCGAGTTCATGGTCCAGGGCCCAGCACGGGTTTTCCGTGCCTCGCATCAGGGTGACGGGGAGAGTCGGTGCTCTTCGAAGACAGTACAGGCTGCTGGTTTGCTGGGAGCGACCACCAGGCACGTGCTCCGGGCTGCAGGGGGCGTGGGCAGGCATGCCAGTGCCGCAGACGGGTGCCAGACGGGGTGTCCGCAGTGGGCATGAGCAGGCGAACACGGGGGGTTCACGCAGTCAGACTCTGGGCAGATTGAGCTTGAAGGGGGGGGGACGCGGGGGGTGGGTTTGGGAGCCGTGTGGTGCACGGACGCAAAAGGAGGAGGTGAGAGGCCCATGCAGGGTTAAGGCGAGAGAGACCCACGCAGGAGAGGAGGGGGCAGCCGCCAAGACGGTCCCAGGCACCATGCAGAGCCGGGCGCCTGCACAGAACTGCCCCGCGTGAAAACCAGGGGTTCGCGTGAAAACCAGGGGCCCCAGGCGGTCATGCAACAGGTCTGCTGCGTTCCTCTCCTCAGGCAGCCAGGCCTGGGTCATGTAGAACTTTCTTGCCTTTCAGGGACTGGAAACTAATTTATCTTTCCAAGTTTTGCATTGAACGAAAGGAGCGTGCCCTGGCTTGTCGGCCGGGTTCCGCTTTAATGCGCCCGGAGTTCAGACGGCTCACCAGCGGCAGGGCTTCATCAGCCCGGGTCTCAGATTGATCCACCACCCCCCGGAGGGTGTCATTCACACCTCTGTCCCCCGGGGGGTCCCATTCACACCTGTGCCACTCAGGGCTTGTCCGGAGGCTCCTGCTCCCTCTGGACACCCCCACGTGCCTCCCGGGAAGGGCCTGTCCCTATTGCCAACACTGAGTGCAGAGCTTGTCTTAACCTTTCTTTTTCCTACAGTGACGCGAGCGCTTGGCGTGAACTCTCGACCTCATTGCTTTTTCGCAGTCCTCTCCAGCCGCCGTAAGTGTGTGTTATTGTCCTTGTCCCTCTCGGCAGGAGCTGGTGGTGGCCCTGAGTCATCTTGTCGTTCAGTACGAAAGCAATTTCTGCACAGTGGCCTTGCAGTTCATGGAGGAAGAGAAGAACTACCCCCTGCCTTCTCCGGCGACCGCAGGTACAGCGCCGTGGCGCGGGGAGCCAGCTGGGCCCCCGGGTGAGGACCACAGCTGCCCTGCCTTGCACCCGGGCCTGAGCTCACTGCCCACTCCAAGTGGTCCCTGTGACTCCTGTCCTGCCAGGCACTTAGCAGAATAGAAGGGGGGCCACACGGACCCTCTGACTCTTTTCCTTCCTTTTCATCGTTTTTGGAAATCACATCCCCAGAGATGTTGAAGGAGAGCGGAACGCGTGCCGGGGCGCTCTCAGAAACGCACGTCAGCTCTTCCTGCGATGAGCTGTTGTCGGTTTCCTGTTCATGAGTCACGTTAGCCAGCAGCTTTTCTCTTGTTTGTCCTTTTTGCGGGATTTCTATTTCTTTGTGTTGGGCTGCCCCCTCCCCCAGAACGCAGCCTTCTCCGCAGGAAGGAGGGCTCGTGACCAATAACAAAAGCCTTACTGCTTTCAGAACATCGGGGAGGGGAAATGAAAATGAACTTGCTTAGTGGAAACAGCTGGCGTGCCGGAGGAGGGCACCGGGCGGCAGAGGGGAGGGCCTGCGGCACTGACCCCGCCGCCACTGCTCTGCTGTTGTCTGTAGGCCAGGGGCCCTCAGCCAAGCTGCAGAGTGCCTGGCGCTGCCCTCGGGGCAGCCCCGGTCGCCAGGCCTGCTCTGAAAGGTCTGTGATAACGGCGTCCCCGCACAACAGCCAGCGTGGGCTCTGTTTGCTCGCGCACCTCCCCCCCACCCCCGCCCAGCGCGCCCATGTCCGGCTTTGTCTAGCCGGCTGAGCAGTGAGCCTGCTGGCGCCGTTCACACTGGCCCCGGGGGAGCTCCCGTCACCTGCTGTGGTGGCCTCCCCGCTAACAGGGTGTGCTGCCCCCAGAGCCCACCATTAACTCTTTCTTCTCTCTCCCAGAGGGTGGGAGTCTGACCCCAGTGCGGGACAGCCCGTGCACCCCCAGACTCCGCTCCGTGAGTTCCTATGGAAACATTCGAGCCGTCACCACCGCCAGGAGCTTGAACAAATCTTTGCAGAACCTGAGCTTGACAGAGGAATGTGAGACGCTGGGAATTGGGTCCTTGGGTTGGGACAGTCGTGGGTCGGATTCTCCAGAACTTTAGGGACACCCGGGCCGTGCCCCTTTCTCTGCCCTGAGGGCATGTCCCGCTGTCCCACCTGCTGGCCCCAAGGTCTCACTGTGGCACAGGCGCCGCTGCAGAGGAGAGGTGGGGGGTGGGGGAGGCACATGTCTGGTCCCAGGCACCTGTGCTGACGGCCCCCACCATGCTGTCTGGCCAGCGGGCAGCTCGGTGGCGTTCTCCCCCGGAAACCTCAGCACGAGCAGCAGCGCCAGCAGCACTCTGGGCAGCCCCGAGAGCGAGGAGTACATCCTGTCCTTCGAGACCATCGACAAGATGCGCCGCGTCAGTTCCTACTCTGCGCTCAACTCCCTCATCGGTGAGTGCCGTGGCCGGTCCCCCCTTCCCCACCTCGCTGGCCCCCGGGGCTCACAGGACGCGGCACTCAGGGTAGTCCTGGTGGGAGAGCAGGCGTCAGCTGGGGCGCGGGGGCTGTGGGTGGCTGCGAGTGTCCGCCGCTTTCACTGAGATGGGATCTACAGGCCGTTCTGGGTGTGTGGGGGGAGGCTTCCAGAAGCTTCCGTCTGCCACAGCCCAGTGGCTGGCCGTGCAGTGACTCTGCCCCAGGAGACACCCTATCTGTCGCACCCAGGGCAGAGCAGCGGCCGCCACACCTAAGGGCAGAGAAACACTCTACATGTAAAAATGCAGGGACGCTCATGGGACATTCTCCATGTGTGTTTCGTTCCTGACTTAAGAAATCACACATGAAGCCAAATCCCCAGAGCTTGGCCACGGTGTCCGTGCTCTTTCACTGTCCGGTGACCCCCAAGCACGGTGCCCCTCCCAGGGCTCAGACTTCGTGGAAACCTGTCCTGCGGCTCGCATCCCGCAGGGCGGCTCCTTCCCGCTGCTCTCTCTGAGCCAAGCGCCGTTCGCCTGCTGCCCTAGCCCCCTCATCTGCCAAGGTTGACTCGCCCGTCCTGTCGGCAGAGGGCTGACCGGAGCCCGTCCGTCTAACCCCCACAGGATTGTTCTAGCCGTTTCTTCCTAGGTTAGCTGCAGCGCCTTACGTGGTTTTAAGATGCCCATTTTAGCCGAATGTTCTCGCTCCAGGGCGCTGTGCCGAGTGCTCTCCGGACCTTGTCCCCTCTGCCGTCCCCCGTACTCCTGTTGCCGTTTGCGTACTTCTGCTCCTTGTTTGCAACTAATCCCGCAAGACATTGGTTTGTTTCCCAGTGTCTCCCAGTCCCAACTTCTGCTTTGTCCATTACCTCATTAGATCTCTACGTTTTGTTCCAATAACTTTGTTTCGTTACTCCCTTCCCTTTTCTTCAGCTTTCCTTCATTGTGCATTTTCATTTCTGGAGCTGAGAACGCAAATAGCTCACACACTGGGGCTTTCTTCTGCGTTCCGACACCAGCACTCACATCTGTGGTTTCCCGGTCGGCCCCTCGTCCGTCCTTGTATCGGTTCTAAGTCGTCGGCTTACTTCGGTGGTGAGCCCCGAGCCCTAGCGCTGACACTGTCCACACCACGTGGCGACGGCGGTATTTCTGACTTTCGGCCCTGAGCTGGAGGGGTCAGGGCTGCTGTCCCCGCGTGAGCCACACCAGTCTGGCACCCCGCTGCAACAGGGCTCAGGACGTCTACTATAGTCCCTGCAGGTTGGGTCCAGGTGGCGTCCCCTCGGGGCCTGGACGGGCGGTGGGTTTCAGACGTGGCCACCGTGCCCCCCGGGGTGGCAGGAACCGGAAAGGGATCTTTGCTCACCAAACACACTGACCCATGACCAAGAACGTGGCTCAAAACCGACTTGAGTTGCCCATCTAAACTGAGAAATGACATCGCAGACTCACGTGTTTGGTTGTTTGCTAAAATATCTCGGGTGCCCAGAAGACATAGGGCTGGCCCCTGGCCCGAACGCAGTTCTGCTGACTCACCAGTAAAACGCATTCTGAGTGTCCGGTGCGGGGTGTTTGTTTTGAACTAGAATTAACACTGTGTGTGGTGGCCAAGTTCCAGGCTGGTCCCGCAGGAGTCTTAAAACCCAGGTCGGTGTGACTCTGAATTAGTATTTCTGTGTTTGTATCTACAACGAGGAAGCATGAAGTCCCGGGCAAATGGGGACACAGAAGCGCGCCGCACTGTGGCTGCAACCACCAGCCAGGTGAGCTCGGCCACTGCACCACTCCCTCCCCGCCCGCCCCTCCCCCAGAGTCAGGGCCACCCCCGCCCCCACCCTCGCCAGAGCCGGGTTGGCAGACAGTCTCTGCAGGAGGCCAGAGAACGTGCGTTTTCAGTCTCGCAGGTGGCCTGCAAACACGTGAATCTGGCCGTGTTCCACTCAGCCTTCACTTACGGACTTAAACGTAAATTTCCTGAAACAGTCACAGGTCATGGAACATTATTTTCCTTTTTACTTTTTTCCCCAACCACTTTAAAGAGTATAAAAACCATTCTTCCTTTGCAAGCCATCCGAGAACGAGCAGCCGGGCCGTGGCTTGCCCGCGTGCAGGACGTGCCCTTCCTGCCCCTGCGGGGCCCGGCAACGTCCCCTGCTGCTCCTTCTCGGGACAGGGAGGCCCGTTCGCTCATCCAGCAGTGCTCCCAGTGCGGCCAGCACGCGGGCTTCCGGGCCACGCCGCCGTGGGAGAAGTCAGCGCAGAAACGCCCCTGACTTTGAAGCCAGTCACCACACCGGGCAGCTCCACTCCTGCCCCACCTCCGCTGCGGGGGCACGGTGGACCCAGGTCCTCGGCCCAGAGCCAGGTGTTGTCCGTGACTCCCCTCTGTCCCTCGGCCCTGCATCCTGGCCTCGCCCCCCCCAGGCCGGCATCCCCTGGCGCTGGCTCCCAGGGGCTTCTCCTGATCAGCCTCCCTGTCGCCTTCATCGGGGCCTCGTCCTGGCTGTGTCCTGCCACGTGACATGTGTCCCCGTGCCTTGTGGCCCTGCCGTCCAGTACCGCCTGTGTCCGCGGCTGTGAGCCCACTCCGCGGCCCCTGCCCACACACACGCTGGCCGCCAGGAGAAGAAACTGCCAAAACGGTCACAGAACTCGCAGAAACAGTGTCTGTCCCGTGTCAGATGGAACCGACGTGAGAAAGAGTCAAGTCACATGTCATCAAGGGACCTCTGAGAGCTTTCATCGAAAGGGTCCTGCAGATCCCTGTCTCTGGGGCCTTTGACCGCGTGTGCCGGTGGAGGCGACAGCAGGTTTGGGCCGCGTCACAGGGCAGGTGCAGGGTCCTGCCTGGGACGCGGCGCTGCTCCCTTGATGAGGGACACCCTCCTGTCCTGGGTGCTGGTGGGGAAGCGCTTCTCGATGGCTGTAAGGACGGAGAATGTCATTGGAGGCCACGTCAGGCTGGAGAGCACGGCGGCACGGGAGAGGCAGGGACCGTCCTCTCCAGGCTGCACCGCGGGGCCCCTCCCGCCTCTACCCTGCCTGCTGTCTTCCTCCAGGGAGCCGGCGGCCCCTGCCTCCTCGCTCACAAGTTCTGACGCCCCGAGAAAGCCGAGCGTCGTCTGCGTGTCGGTCAGAATTCTGAGCTAGGCCGGAGCTGACGGAGCCGCTTCGAGCACGTCCCCTGAGCCAGTGCTCCCGTCCACGCATGCCTACGACGTGGCCCGTCCACCACACGCCTACGACGTGGCCCGTCCACCACACGCCTACGACGTGGCCCGTCCACCACACGCCTACGACATGGCCCCACTGAGTCCCGTGGCTCACAGCTCTCGCTCGCTCGAAGACAGGTTTTTCCTTCATTTCAGCCAGAGGACGGCCGTCTCTCTAGCCTCTCACTGGATGTTGCAAAAGAGGTTTTCAAAACCATGGCAACCTAGGGACGTCCATTATTCCCACCTTCTCCAGAAACGCCAGCCCCTCCAGGTCCCCTCGTAGCCCCCTCGTTGCTCTGTTGCCGTGGGCACTCCTGGTGGTCTCGCCTGCTGTGCCGCGTGTCCAGGAATGAATTCGGGCCCGGGCTTCCCTTGACCCCGCCTGGACCCCTGCGGCGCCCGAAGCCTGCCGGCCTGACGTCGCGGAGCTGTGCCGGGGCCTGGTCTCCGCAGCCCCTCGCCTCTGGAACCCACGCACCTGACTCCCCAGCCGTCTGGCCTGACTCCCACGTGGGCCCCCATCGGTCCTCCCCATCTCTGGGTTCCCCCACCCCAGGGCCGGTCTCAGCACGCTGCATGCCAGGACCCCCCTGAGATCCTGCCCGCGTGTCTACCGACTGCCAGGCTTGTCCAATGGCGGCCTCGCACAGAAGCCTCTGTGAACACCGCACTTGCCGTCAGCTCCCGACTCAAGGCCTTGGGCCTGCAAACAGCCAGCACCTTCACCATCACCACCCACACCCCGTGCCGCCACCGCTGCCCTCTGCCCTCAGGCTGGACGGTGGTCCCTGAGCGAGGCATGGACAGCCTCTCTGACTCACCGCACGGCCTCTCCAAACCAGCAGCACCTGGTCCTCCCTGCTGGTGACATTCTGCATTCCTGCGGGGGTAGGGTGAGGGGGGTCCCTGACCCCCCATGACCGGAACTCCCCATCTTTATCACTCAGTGTTGGTGAAGCTGCCGCTTCCTGACCCGTGTGCCCCGCCTGCCCCGTGTGCCCCTCCCGCCCCGAGGCTCACCCCGTCGGTGTGCCCAGAGGGGGTAGTGGGAGGGGTGCGGAGAGACAGCCCCTGACATCAGGGGTCCCCGTGATGCACCCCACCCGCCCCGCCCCATCAGTCCCCTTGCTCCACGCCCTGGGTCCTGGGGGCAGGGACGGTCACTCTGCTTCTTCGCGGGAGCAGCCTGCAGGGGCGAGGGGGTCATTTTTGTTCTGGGGACTCGGGAGCGGACCGCGGTGGCCGTGAGTGCCTCACCTCCAAAGCACCAGCTAGCCGTAGTCAGAGACCTGGCCAAGGGGGGACAGTCACTCCTTCGCCAAGTTTTGTGATGGTTGATACCACCTGAAGTGTCCTCCCCTGTGACAAAGCCCAGCCACAGGTGGGCAGGGAAGGGAGGGCCAGGAATCGCGCTCTTGCCGGCCTGGAGCCTGTCCCCGCCTGGCTGTGTGCCCAGAGCTGGGCCCAAGTTCCTGCTCAGAACTGGGGGGTCACGGGTACTGCCCGTACCACTGGAGGAGGAGGCCTGGCGAGCAGAGCTGACTTCCCACTGGGGCCCCTGGGGATCCCGCTCGTCCTGAGGCCGCTTGTCCCTGTTGCATCATGACTGGCCAGGAAGGAGCATCTCCTCCCTCACTCTCCTCATCTCCCCGCGACCTTGAGAAGTCCTACCAGGAGGCCTTCACGAGCCCCCAGCAGCCCTGGGGGCCCCATAGCCATGAGCTCCGAGCACGAAAAGCAGAGGGGCGGGGGGGGAGTGCGCGGCCCCATCCATCAGGAGCAGGGGGAGCAGTCGTCTCCAGACGAGCCACACAATCCCGGGGGAGGCTTTACAGCCCGTTAGTTTGATGTCTCACAGCCGGCAGGGAGCGGTGGTGGAGGGAGGACGGCGTCATTTCCCAACGCCACATCCGTTATGTTTTTATGGCCACAGCCCTTGATTAAAGGCCATTATTACGTGTGTCTCATAGGGGCCCTGAGGATCATGGCGGACAGGATTATGCACACAGGGTGACTACCCAGTCTAGGCGGAACTCCGGCCTTGGGGTCTCAGGCCAGAACTGTTCACGCCTCCCATGGGCAGAGGGAGGAAGGCCCTGAAGGGGGTCCGTCACCAGGGGCAGCCCGGCAACAGGGACGGCCAAGGGCAGTGTCCCCAGGCCTCGGACGCCAGTTGCTGGACAGGGCACAGGCTCTCCGCATCAGCGTTGGGGACCCCTGAGACCCAGAGCGAGCGACAAGCTCCCGCTTCTCCGTTCTCCACGCAGCTCGGCCAGCCCGGGGGACTCGGAAGTCCAGAGCTGGCCACAGAGCTCTGAGGAAATTTTCTTACATCTTAGGCTGTTTGGAAAGCGGTGGCCGTTGCCCTGAAAAATAAATGAAAAGCCATCAGTTACGATCTTTTATTACTTTCAGTCTAGACATGGAAATAGGTTCTCTGCGCTCATGAGGAAGGAGCTGATGAGTGGCAGACACGGGCGTCCTGTCGGAGCATTTAGCAGCCCAGAAGGCTCCCCTCGGGCATCCCACGCCCCCTCTCCCGGGCTCCAGCCTCTGCCGGCTCCTTCGCAACCTGGTGTCGGGTGGGCGGCAGCTTTGAGAGCAGGACGGCGAGGCCGAGAGCGCAGCGGCCGGACTGGGGACAGTGGCACGCACAGACCACTTCTCTGCGCCGGTTTCCTGCTTTCACAGCAAATACTTCCACCATTCGTTGTGGCCAAGACCCTGGCGAAAATTAGAGCCTTTTCCTTCTCCGTTGAATCACAGCTGTTAAATCAAGGCCAAAATCTTCTGCAAGGAAGGCCACAACCGTGATAAAAAAAATCAACGTTCTGTGATGTGACGGGTGGGAACAGCCACCATGTCCCCTGCTTCCTCGGTGCAGGACGTGCCTCCCCTTTGCTGGTGCTGGTCTTGTGCCGCCACAGCCCCGTGCGCTGTCCTCGCGCTCACGCCAGAGGCACCGCTGAGCCAGGGTCCGCCTGGTTGGGTGTCCACTCTTCCACAGGCACACGCGCAACGAGGCTCCTTAGCACCACGTCCCCGTCCTCCCTCCCCCCGGGGGTTGTGACAGTATGGCGGGGTCTGTCATCTAGAGCACACCCCCGTGCTGCCCTCTGTCCCGTGGTGGCCACACTTCGGGGGAGCTGAGCCCAAAACATATGGAGGGGGTAGACTGCACGCAGTGGCTCTGGTAAGTCTGAGGACCCTTCCCAAGAGCCTCCGGGTCAGTGGTGGTGATGAGGCCCCCTTGCCCCCCACGAGGGTGGTTCTCCTTTACCTTCTGAGTGCGCTGACCCCGCAAAAGTGACTGCCCGGTCCCTGCAGGTCGTGACCCCGCAGCCCCGCGCAGGTGACGTGGGAGCCGCGTCTTCACGGACATGGTGCTTCTGTGGTGCAGGGCGCAGCTCCTGCTGGCGGGTGCTCCGCCATGACGCGAAAGTGGACTTTAGGAAATGCTCCCAGAGTCTCTGGGCCAAACAGCTTCTTCAGACTTTGGTCGTAGATCCGGACGGTTGTCCTATAGCCGTGGGGTCAGGTTCAAAGGTGGGAAATGCTCCCAGAGTCTCTGGGCCAAACAGCTTCTTCAGACTTTGGTCGTAGATCTGGACGGTTGTCCTACAGCCGTGGGGTCAGGGTCAAAGGTGTTGGCCTGTGCCCATCTCAGAATAAAGCGTGCGGTGAGATGGGATGCATTGCCGCGTGGGTTGCGCACCCTGACACAACCTTCCCTCCAAGTGAGGGTGCGCTCAGCTGACACCTCCCCAGCCGAAGTCCAGATTCATGCGGAGCCCTGGTCCCTCGAGGGGCCCCTGTCCCACCCCCTGGGCCATGAGGCCCATGTGAGCCACCATCTGCATGCCGGCACCGGAGCAGAACGCTGACGGCAGCACCCGATGTCTTGCCGCCGTCCCTCCTGGCCGCGCAGCCGTGCCTTTCTTCATGGTTGCCCTGAGGCACCTCGAGAGAGACGGGCTGCCCCCGCCCCACTCCACAGCAGCAGGTGTGCGGCTGTGCGGGTGTGGCCCTGCCCTTCGTCCAGTCTGCCTCTGATTGGAATGCTCCAGTGCGACCTGCTCCGCGTGCAGGGCCGCGTCCATCGGAGACACTCCGTGGTCCAACAGCACTCATGATGCTTGAGGTCCTTCTGCGCTGGTGCTCGGACTGGCCGGGAGGCTGACCTACGGTCTCAGCAGATCCAAATAATGCTCATTGCATCGCTTTCTGTGGCCAAACACGCAGTTGTCGATGAACTGTCCAGCTTCCCCAGATAAAAAGGATGCAGTTCCACACTGCTGTCTCCTGCTCATCACGCCATCCGTGGGAGCAGGACCCTGCCTGTGTCTGGCCCCCAGGCTCCCCCCAGCAGTGCTCAAGCGTGCAGCATCCACACTGCGCTTCCCGGTCCCAGCTGTGGCTCACGTGGCCTCTCCCAGGGCTGCCCTTCTCCTTCCTTGCCTGCACTGACCCCGTTCTACGACCCCCCCCCCACAGAGGCCTGCACCCAGCCCCACCTGCTCTGTCCCCTGGGTCTCTGAGCTGCCCCCCTGTTCTCTCTGACTTGCACACCCAGGTCATGGTCGTGCTGCTTCTCCAAATGCTCCGTGAATTCCCATCACCTCCGTGACAGTCCGTTGTTGGCTCTGCTCACTTCCCTTCAGGAAGGTCTTTGCAGGAGAGCAGTCCTGCTTCCCCTCAAAGCCCCTGCATGCCACTTCCATAAAGCCGTCCTGGCTCCTTGCCTCCTGGCCCCACTCCTGACAGAAGGAGTCACTTTTCCCAGAGCCACCACAGTGGCCATGCTATAGACGTGGTGTCAGCCCGAACCTCAGATGGGGGCATTTGAATCCTTCATCCTTTGGACACTGGGCCTCATTGTCCCTCTGTGACACCCAGGATAGTGCCAGCAGCTGCGATCATGAGACTTAAATAGGGCTGAGTGGACCCCCGGGTAAGGCCCTCAGTGACATTTGTTCCTTCATGTCTGGGATGCACCCTGTCCAGGCTTATGTCCTATCTCATCTGCCGTGGTGTCCGGCTTTGCAGACGGGACATTGTGTAGCCTGGTGGGGACCTGGAGGGCTGGGGTCACGTCACGCATACCCTTTGTGATTTCCTGGAACTCAGGACAGTACCACGTGTGGTCACAGCCCAGAACACACCCTGAATGCAAGAAAGGTGTACACAGGACTCCTGTCCAATACTCATGGCTCCTGGGAGCTTGAGCATAAAATCGAGGGGTCTTCGGAAGTGAGACGGCACCGTCCAGTCAGCCAGGGCTTCAAGGAAGGCCGGCCTCTACCTCGCTTTTCCTTCAGGAAGAGCCAGTCTCAGAAGATGAAGTCATCAAGCCTGTTTACCAGCTGGGATCCCTGAATTTCTGGGCCCCTGACCAGAAAACAAAAACAAGCCTCCCCTAGCCCCAGCTCTTTAAAGTGTCTGTCCCCAGCAGCAGCCAGGTCTCCAGAAGACGGCCAAGTACATGGGCAGCTACCTATTACTGAAACACCCCGTTTCTCTTTCCTAGGTGTTTCCTTCAACAGCGTTTACACTCAGATTTGGAGAGTCTTACTGCATCTGGCTGCGGATCCCTATCCAGATGTTTCCGACTTGGCCATGAAGGTGCTCAACAGCATCGCCTACAAGGTACGTGTGACGGAGTTCCCGGTGAAGCCCACGAATCTGTGTCTCGGTGACAGATATGCACGCAGGGAGCACCGGGCACTGTCAGGTCTACACTGTGGTTTAGATATCCGACAAGCGCTTCACAGCGTACCCCGGTCTCTGTTTATGGGTAGCTTCAGTTGGGGTGCCATCCTGTGGTATTGGGGTGCCAGGACGTTAGGTAAGGGCTGCTGTTAGCCTCGTGATCCTCTCGGGGTCAGTGTGGTCTGTAGTGATGCCTCCTTCGTTCCCAATACCCGTGATTTGTGGCTCCTCCCACTCACAACTGTTCTGGCTAAAGGAAACCTTGAAGAACCAGCTTTTGGTTTCATTACTACTTTGTTGCTTTTTATGTCCGATTTTATCAATAGCTCAATTTGTCTTCATTATCTCCTTCCTTTTGTTTAGTCTGAGTGTAACTTGCTCTTCTGATTCCAGTCTCTTCAGATGGAAGCTGTGGTCATTACCTTTGCCTGAAACTGTATGACACACAGCCACCTCGAGACCTTTTCTCTCTGAGGCCTAGGACAGCCTCCTGGCCGTGGCCAGCACAGCCGTGACCCGCGTGTTCATCAGCGGCTCCGGTCATTCCCCCCCACTCTTGATTATCCTGGTCATGATGAAACCATATTCAGCTTATGTAACTGTACTTTTCAGTGGCTTTTATGCTGTTAATCTTACTAAAAATCAACCTGAATTATTTAAAAATACGATTTGAGTGCCTAATTTTAAAATTTAACGACTATAAATTCATCGCAGTAGACCTGATGTCAGGATGTCAAATACATTCCTCTTAGGAATCTCTCTCTAGTACGTGAAGCCCAGAAACCACGTCTCCATGTCTTTTTGGATTATGTGTCAAGTGTGGAGCCGTAAGCCAGAGACTCCCCTCACTCTGCTTCGTGGTAATTAAACGCCGTGTATATAATTGCTCCTGCCAGGCAAAGCCACACCAGCCAGTTACAGCGACCGGAAACGGAGCCGTTCATACCTTCAGAGCGGCACTCACGAATAGATACTTGAAAGGGGCAGGTGGCTTTCTGCCTGCTGTGCTGATGGAGACAGACACACACGTCCCAGTGCATGCAGCTGGCACGCCCAAGGGCATGCCCAGGTGGAGGGACAGAGATCAGGGTGGGCCTCCTCCAGAGTCCATGCTTCCCAGAGCCTTGCCCAGGGACAGCACAGCCTGTGTGTGCGAGCGTCTTGGTGTACGTCCGTGGGTGTGTCTGCGTGTGTTCACTTTTAAGGGCAAACACGGCTACTGAAGGATTTGGAAGCATAAACATGAAGGAAACATTTTCTTGTCCTCAGTTTAATTACAGAAAATGTCTTACGTTCTACTCTAGTAACCAACGAGGAGATTACATTTTGGTTTACAGAGAAATGGACCTATTTTTTATATTCAACTCTGAAGGCAAATTTTTGTTCATCAGAGTCAAACCGCCTCATTACTCTGGAATACCCCGTAGGATTCTGTATTCAAATATAGAAATTGCTTCCAGCTTGGGAACCCACACAGCTCAAGAGCTGTGGCCTAATTTCAAGTATTTATATCCCCTTTCCACACAGGCTTGGGGTTTACATTTTGCCTGTAGTTTTTTTTATTATGGAAAATTTCAAACCATGTGCAAGTACAAAGGAGAGCAAGATGACCCCTGGGAACTGTGTCGCCCCAGCCACCTCCCCCGTGCCACTCCCGCCATCTGTAGTTTGGGGAAAACTCTGAGAAGGAAATCTCGAGCTGCCACCATTCAAATGTCAGGGTCACACATAATAATAAAAGCTACTTTTAATATTTATGAGAAAATGGATCAGCACATAAACTCACCTAAAAATGGTCTGCCCACGACTCCACACCCAAGGAACGAGAATGCGATCGCCGTGCCTACTGTGGGACAACGCGCAGCTGGGTGTGACGGAGATCAGAGGTCAGCGTGCGCCGTTCAAGGCTGAATGCCTTTCTTAGAGACTGAAGGCCTGAGAGACAAGAAACACGAAGAAGGTTGGGGTCGTCCCCAGAACAGCACCTTCTAAAGTGCCACAGAAACTGCGATTGAAACCCCACTCTCCGTCAGCGTTAGCTTCTCACGTTTCTCATAGAAGCGCGTCAGGGTGCAGGGACTCCCTCCTCCTCCGAGTTAGCGGCCTCCGCCAGCACCTGGGGAGCCCACTGTGCTCGTCCCAAATCTGATTTCACCCAGCGAGTTTGCACATAGCCTCACGGCCAGCGACACGCAGGGCACCTGTCGCAGGCACCTCTCCATCCATCTTCCCGTGGGATCTGTGGTACGTGGGTAATCATCCTGACTTCTTTCCGCATGAGTCAAACGGCCTTCGGCTCCCGGAGGTGGAAGTTCCGGGTCGGCCTCTCCCCCAGAATGATCTGTCTGCTGCCTGAAGGCTGCCAGCTCCCCAGCTCCTCCCTGGAAGGCCCTCAGCTGCCCCAGCCCCACGATTCAGAGGCACAGTGCTGGCTGCGCCTGTCCCGGGCCGCCGCCCCATGCACCCCCTGGCCTCCCGCTGCCTCCACCAGGAGGAGGGACCCCGAGAACTGTCAGGCCCGTGCGGGTCCCGGGAGCCGCAGGCCGATCTGGCCGATCTGCCCGCAAACCGACCGTGCCGAGAGGCATCTGCGCACATAATTCGCACCTTCTTGTGCACCTGTCCGTCCCCACCTCCCTGCAGACCCAGGGCTGACGGCATCTTCACTCAGACTAGCTTAGCTTACGGAAGTAGGTCTGTCCCTGAGAGTCACTGGCCGGTGGGCCCTGCCAGGCCGGGTGCAGGAACAGCCCCAGGAGAGCTGGTTCCCTCAGGGACTCAAACCCAGTGACTCTGGGGTGGCTGCTAGGAATGTGTTTCACAGAGATGCTGCCCTGGGCCTTCTGTGTGTCCTGCACATGGAGTCATGGCCACCAGGTACTGGGCGGCCCTCCAGGCCCATGGGACCCGTTCTCGGTCCCTCAGCCTAAAGCCCATCACTTCACTTCCCCCAGCTCGTCCGTGGAGTGGGGCTTGTTGTAGGTCCTGCGGGATAGTAGACGCGGTAGTCCTGCGAGCCAGAGCGTGTCTCCTTCTTCTCTGTCTTCCTTACTCTGTGCACATGCAGCAGGTCCTGGAAAGGGGCCGCTGAGACTCTCTGGCCTCGACCTTGCCGGCTTCTCTTCCTGGGGGCCACGGACTGAGGCTTTCCGGTGCCCGTCAATGACCGTGGGCCAGTGCCTCCTGCTGGTCACCATTGTTGGTGCTCGGAGCACTCCCTAGGACTCAGCCTTCTGGATGGAGACTTACGTTCTTTATTTTTTTTTTTTAAGATTTTATTTATTTGACAGAGATCACAAGTAGGCAGAGAGGCAGGCAGAGAGAGAGAGAGGAGGAAGCAGGCTCCCGCCGAGCAGAGAGCCCGATGCCCGGCTCGACCCTAGGACCCTGAGATCATGACCTGAGCCGAAGGCAGAGGCTTAACCCACTGAGCCACCCAGGTGCCCCGACTTATGTTCTTTATCTAGGAGCTGCAGCTGACAGAAAAATGACTTATGGGTGAATAGACTTGGCTTTTATAGGTGTCTTGTCAGTGAGCAAGCGGCCAGCGGGCTGGAGGGAAGCCCCAGATTCCCTCCAGATAACCCTCGTGAGAAGCACTTTCTCCCCCACGAGCCCAGGTCCTGGCTAGGACGTCCGCTGCACAGTCCCGCAGGTGCCGCACTCCCCCAGAAAAGAGCAGCCGGAAGCCCGAACCTGACTGTCTGGCCGCTGGGAAGTCGTCTGTCCAAGGTCATCTACGCGGCTTCTGGGCCTCTTTCTCCGCGCTGGGTCAGACTCTGTACCCTTGTGAGGTGGCGCGTTCCAGTGGAAGAACCAGAGAGTAAGGGGACCTGGAGGCGAGCCTGCCGCAGCCCCAGGCCCCTGCTCCAGACGCCCCGATCGCTGCACAGGGCAGAGAGCAGAGACGGGCTCATGTATCTGCATACGCTGCCGCGTGTGTCCCTGTGAACATTTCGGTGTTGGCCCCAGGCCCAGAGAACACATCTGACCTGAGAATTCACTTGTATCAAAGTAACAGTTGCGGACCTACGAGAGCTTGACCTATAGCCATGACCACCCCTCCTTGCGGCCTTGCTCGTCGGGACTCCGCCTGTCAGGGAGGGCACACCAGCCCCTCCAGTGGCTTCAGGGCCACATCCTGGAGCAGAGAGTAACGGGCCTTCACCGCGAGAAGGATGAGCAAAGGTGGAGACTGTGTGGGGCTGACGGGCTCACGGCGGGCCCGGTCCTCCGTTCAGAGCCTGAAAGTGCCACTGCCCTCCTGCTGACCTTCTCTGGCCGTGTGCTGTCTGTGTGAAGCGACGGCTGGGACCAGTGCAGGAAGGAGCCACTCCAGACAGCTACTGCGGCTCCCCAGCTCGCCACCCTGCCTCACTCCGTGCCCTGTGTCCCCAGATCAGGTCTGCACGCAGGCGGGTCCCCTCGCACTCATCCCTGCAGGCCTATCAAGGCCAAGTCAAAGTGTATCCAGCAGATCAGAACCTAGAAAAAAGGCTAAAAAAAAGCTTCCTCGAAGCCTGACGCTCTGTGATCACTAGTGTGAAGGCTGTCAGCAGGCCCACCGCTCAGGATTTCTAACACGGACACGGAAGGAGAGCCGCGCAGCTGCCGTGGGTGTGGATGGTGTGGACATGGGGCTGTGGACACCCTGTCCGGGATGTCCTGGCAGAGGGACCAGGACCAGTTGGTCCGCAAGGCCTCCTGAGGGGTGGCAGGCTAGCAGCAGGCCCAGGAGAGGCAGGTGGGAAGGTCTCGGGGTCGCAGGGAAGGTGGGGGCTCTGCTAAGGTCTGCATCTCAGCACAGAGGCTTTCTGTCCCCCCAGCCACTGCTGGAACTCCGGGGAGACCCGTGGGAGTTGACAGTTTCTTGGGTTCTTCACCTCCCTTGGTTACTTGGGGATGGCTTGGCTCCTGGGTTTTGGGGGGAAGGGAGCTGGCCAGGTAATTTAAGGACGAAGCAAAAGCAAGTTCACAATGTAACTTTTGTAATTCAAAAAAGCTTTTTTCATGATTTTTAAAGGTTGATTATGGTTCAGTTTTCTTGCTGTTCTTCCGAGTGGTGGATTATCAGGGCGACACTGGTGTCCTGTAAATGAATAGTCTTACAGTTGTTTTGTTTTCTGCCGTTTTTGTCTGTTGGCTGAACGTAGGAGGTACAGCATCCCGACTGCTGTGGGAGGGGCCAGGGCACACGAGGGTCCCCAAGTAGGGTGGCCCTACATCATCACCTACAAAGGTCGAGGTTCTGCTTGGCCCGGCAGTGGCGGCCAACTTTGTGACCCCGTCTGGCACTGACTGCACTCGGAAAGCCCCGATGGCTGCCTCAGCCACCACCTGTCCCGAGTGTCACCTGGGTGGCCTCAGCTGCCCTTGGAGCCCTCTCAGCTGGGGTGTCCGGAGCCAGCAGGCCCCCTGCCCAGCCAGCCCTGCACGCCCAGCAGAGCGTCCGGGAAAGGACGCCGTCAGGCGAGCGGTCAGCACCCTCGCTCGCTGCACTTCCTGGTCACGTGTTCCTCCAGCACACGTCTGGTTTCCCGATCCGCGCAAACCTGAACAACTTCCCGGAGCGCTGGTCTCAGGCTGGCTCAGCTCCTTCTCTGCAGGGAGATGTCGCACGCTGCGCATGTCGTGGAGGAGGTTTCCAGAGCCTGCTACCTCGTCTCCGTCCACGACGTGCTGTGTCTCGGGACACAGTGTGAGCCCCTGCAGGGGAAGGTGGAAAGCAAACCCTGGGGTGCAGTGTTCTCAGCCATCCCAGGGCGGGGTCCCGGCGCCCCGACTTGCCATTGACCCTGGCACGGTCTCGTGGCTGCAGCTCCAGGAGGGCCAGCCCTCGGGCCTCCTGGTTCTAGAAGAGCGGACAAACACAGTTTCACCTGCAGGGCCCTCCTGCCGCGAGCACCACGGCCAAGGGGCCAAGGGGCCCCTTCTGCAGTCCTGAGGCCGTGACCCCACAGCCGCCCACCTCCCCGGCCAAGGGGCCCCTTCTGCAGTCCTGAGGCCGTGACCCCACAGCCGCCCAC